CCCCAAAACCCCAAAACCCCAAAACCCCAAAACCCCGTAAACTAACATTAATATCAAATATTAATAGTCGAGTAGGAAATATTATAATTACATTTTTACAATCTTTATCAGCTAAGATGGACTTCTATCAACGTGAAATCTAGGATGGTTTACGTTTCTCATGGAACTACTGGCCTTGCAATAAAATAACTGAGTAGAGAGTTGTTCTCCCAGTTGGAGCGATCTATACTCCTCTAAAAGAAATCGAAAATATGGCTCTTGTTGAATACACACCTGTACTTTGCAAAACTTGCCAAGGTGTCTTAAATCCTCACTGTCAAGTTGACTTTAGATTCAAGAATTGGGGGTGTCCAATCTGCCAAACTAGAAACAACTTCCCCCCTCATTATGCTTCAAATATTTCTGAGTAAACTCTCCCAGCTGAACTAATTCCAGAATTCAGTACTATGGAATACATTTTACCAGAAACATAATAAGCACCTAATGCTAGACCCATCTTTCTCTTAGTAGTAGATACTGCTGTCTAAAGTGAAGAGCTAGCAGAACTAAAAGACTCTCTTTAACAATCAATAAACTTTATACCATAAGATGCTCTCATTGGATTGATCACTTATGGGAAAATGACCTATGTACATGAATTAGGATTTTCAGAGTGTCCTAAAGCCTACGTGTTCAGAGGAGATAAGGAGCTGACAGCAAGATAAATCTAAGACTAACTTGGCTTAACTCTTTCTTAAGATCCTTTAAATAAGGGTGATAACTCTGCCCTCAAGAGATTCTTGGTTCCAGTAAGCGAGTGTGAATTTGCTCTCAACTCAATTCTAGATGATTTGTAGCCAGATCCATGGCCTGTCCAATCAGGACATAGACCACAAAGATGCGTGGGTACTGCCTTAAATGTTGCAGTCAGTCTTTTAGAAGTTACTGGTACTTAAAGCAGAGGATCAAGAATTGTGAGTTTGATTGGAGGTCCTGTAACTTATGGACCAGGTATGATTGTCTCTGAAACTTTACAAGAGAAAATCAGATCTCATTTGGATATATAAAAGGAAAGGGATAACACAAAATATCTGAAGAAGGGCATCCAATTTTATCAAGCTCTTTCACAAAGAGCCTAAATAAAAGGTATCATTATTGATCTTTTTGTTGCTGCATTGGATTAAGTTGGAGTCCTTGAGATGAAAACCTGCTTTGAAAGATCTGGTGGTTACTATGTGATGACTGATTCTTTTGGAAATCCTGTATTTAAGGAAAGTTTTAAAAAATTCTTTGAAGTGGATGAAAATGGAGAACTAAAGATGGGATTCTTAGCCTAAATTACTCATCTTTGTTCAAAAGAAATTAAAATTCAAGGAGCAATCGGTCAAATTACTCCAGTTACTGTTACTAAAAACCTCTACTTTTCAGACAATTAAGTTGGTAATGGAGGTACAAATTAATGGTACATAGGTGCAATTGATAAGAATAAGTCTATTGCATTTTACTATGATATTGTGAACCAACAAACATCTTAATAACATTAGAAGGTATTCTTATAATACTAAACTACATATCGCCATGTAAATGGAAGCAGAAGAATGCGTGTGACTACAGTCTAACGATTAATGTCTCCAGCTGATGATCTTAGAGAAATGGCCTATGGATTCGATTAAGAGACTGCTGCTGTACTGATGTCTAGGTATTCAGTCTTTAAAACTTTAAGTGAAGATTCAATTGATGTCATTCGTTGGTTAGACAGAATGCTCATTAAATTAGTTGCTAGATTTGCTGAGTATAAAAAGGATGATCCTTCCAGCTTTAAACTGTCAAGAGAGTTCAGTTTATTCCCTCAATTCATGTTCTATCTCAGAAGATCTTAATTCTTGCATACCTTCAATGCTTCTCCTGATGAAAGTGAATACTATAGGGGACTATTAATGAGAGAAAATGTAGCTAACTCTTTAGTCATGATTTAACCAGCACTTATGTAGTATTCAGTTGATGCTGAATAACCAGTTCCAGTGCTTTTGGATATTGATTCTTTAAAGAACAATGTTATCTTACTACTTGATACCTTCTTCTACATTGTCATTTGGAAGGGAGAAACAATTGTTTAATGGGAAGAAGCTGGATATCATGAAGATCCTAAATATGAAAATGTTAAGAATCTTTTATTAGCTCCTATTGAAGATGCCAAGGTAAGCAAGTAATGTTTTTAATGTTCAAATAGTTCATAATGCAAGAAAGATTCCCATTACCAAGATTCTTCGTGTGTAAACCTGGAGATTCTAATGAAAGAAAGATCAAAGTCAGAGTTAACCCCTCTTCTCTTACTGCCAATAACGCCACAGTTGAGGTAAAATATTTCTATTTTTTAGTAAATTCTTTGTTAGAGTGGTAACTATTTCACAGAGGATGTTAGTCTTAATCTATTCATGCAGCATCTTATTAGAATGGCAGTCCAATCCTGAAAATATACTAAAACTTTATTTCTTTAACTAATATTAACTCTAATAATACATTTTCAAGAGTGTTTAAGGGGTTTTGGGGTTTTGGGGTTTTGGGGTCTACATGGTCATTCAAGAAAATAGAATGTCTTTATGT